GAGTGTGAGGCAGAGGGAAAGTGGAGGAAGCAAAGGTGTGAGGAATGGGTAATCATTCCACAAGTTTCTTGCAGGTCTCTACTTGTTAATTCTATAGCTCATTACATCCTTGAAGGCACAAGCAGTGTAATATATTAGAACTCAAGATGCTTCTTACTACTTAGCTTGATCAAGACCTGCTAAAAACATTGTCTTGTTTGTTTTTTCCTTTCCAAGTCAAGATACAGGTAACAGAAGAACAGCCACTGAAAACATCTTTCAGTACATCCATGTTTTATGAACTTGAAGTAGAGACTGTATTGTCAAGGGGGCATTCTTGGTGACTTATCAAGACAATCCATTACTATGCCATATGTGATAATTTAAAACTTTCCAAATGGTTTTACAATTACTGCAATGGAAATTCCCCTGTGTGCAGTCCAAAGTAGTAGAGCCTAGATGCAGCTTTACCACCTCAGTAAAACCAAGGCCTAAATCAGGACAGATACCGCTAGACAAAAACAGAGATTGTATGGAGATAAAGATAGTAAATACATACAAACCTTGATGCACAATAAACAGCATTTTGTTTTGGGGTTAAAATTAAATTTTATTAGAACAACAAAAATATTTTTTAAAGGTATCATGTTTAGATGATCAGTTTAACTTTTAAAGCAGGGTGGCTTTCTTAACATGTCTTCAATTAGGTTTTTGATGCCATGCCTCATTAATGTTCATGTTAATGATAATGATAGTAGAAAGAAACAAAAGGGAGGGCATGATATTCTTGAACTTGCCCATGAAGAACAATCATACCTCAACCAGTCAGAGGATGTCTATATTTAAAAAGCGGTGCTGCTAAAGTAGTCTGCAGAGAGCTGAACTGAGGCATGTAGATAAGCATGCAGACTGAACAGCTATGTTGATCATTTGTTGTTGGACTGTAGTATTTCAGACTGCAAACTAGAGATGTGTGAATAGAGCCTGTGATTTTTAAAATCCTACACATGTTAAAAACTATCATATCAAAGAGGCAGCTATACTTCATGTCATTATTATGGACATTCTGTGTTCAGGGTTTGTTTGTTTTTCAGCATATGGAAGATTCAAACATGTTGGCACATTGACTAGTCCAATTATGCACTCTTCTAAGAAGAGAATTAAAGAGGAGACTATGCTTTCTCTCAATTTCCTCTTGTATAAGTGAACAAAAATATAAAAAGATCAATCAGACCAACATGTCATCTCATCCACCATCTTGTTTCTCAACCAGATGTCCAGGATAACTTGCAAATAGTCAAAAGTCCATCCCTGTTGCACACGGCATCCTGAAGTCAGACCATCCCGAACGGGCAACATTTTTTAATTGCACGCTGGAACAATCAGACGGGGGCAAGTCCATGATTGGCCCATTGGAACTGAAAACTCCAGATTTTACCTAGTACCTTTTTAGCACAGCAAAATGGGATGCTCATGGAAGACGGACATTTCCCAGATGTTGATGTCTGGACATTACATTTAAATCCATGAGGCACTTGTGCCTCACGCGGATCTAAAGAGCTGTATGAACGCACCCAGAGAAAAGCAACCCCTGAATATAGAGGTTACATTTACCCATTGTGACAAATAGCCATTGATGGATCTAGCCTCTCAGAAATTGGCTGATCCCATTTAAAGTAATCTAAACTAGTGGCCATCGCTGTACCCTCTGTAAGCAAGTTCCGTACCTATTTTGCGACCTTTCTTTTGTCTGTTTTCAATCTAGTTCACATAAGCTTTGTTGGGTGGTCTACAGTTCTACTATTCGTGGAGGTAATAAAATCCAATTTCACCACATCAAGCTTAATTTTATAAACTTTTGTCTTCTCTTTTTTCTGAAGTGAAAAGCATCCAACAATTCAACCTTTGTTCATAAGAAAAGTGCTCTAGATCTTCGATCATTTCGGTTGTCCTTTTCCAATTTTACAATATCCTTTTGGGGTAACTAAGCTGAACACAGTATTCAAAATACCGACACACACCACTGTACCTTGTTTAATAATCCCTAGCACAGAACAAAATTTGAGTTCAGTGGCACTTTTAAGACCAACAAAGTTTAATTCTGAGTATAAGCTTTTGGATGCATGTGCATATCCTTCAGACATGAAAGCTTATACCCAGAATTAAACTGTTGGTCTTAAAGGTGCCACTGGACTCAAACTTTGTTCTGTTTCTTCAGACCAACATGGCTACCCACCTGAACCTAGCACAGAATTTGCCCCCCCTCCCCCACGCTGTGTCACACTGAGTTGAAATATTCATTTAACTATGCACCACGACCTCAAGATCTTTCCTGGTCTGTCACCCAACAATTCAAAGCTTACTGGCATATGTGTGAATTTAGGATTACTATTATTATTGCTGCAGTGCATATTATAATATTTACTTACAAAGGCACTCATTTGCCACTCTGTTGCTTATTCACCCAGTACTGAGTGATCTGCTTCAAGCGTCTTTTAATCTGTTTTGGTTCTCACCATCCTGAATATTTTGTAGCTGTCCACTCACTGCTCTACACCTTTGTCCACCTACTTGCTATAAAACATTGTCAAAGAATTGCAAAAGTTTAATGAGGCAGGACTTCCCTTTGCTGATGCCATAAGCAGTTTCTCATCAGTAGAACTTTTTCAACCATATGGTCATTTCTTCGTCAATGATTGACATCCATTAGTCCAACCATCTCCTCACTCTCTTCACTTGAGTAAGACTTCAACTTTTTTGCATTTTATGGAAGCTGACTTGCCATTTATGACAAATACAAACTTTCAGCCATCTCTTTCTGTATTCTAATGAGATGTTTGAAGTGAGGCAGTGTTCCCATGATATCTTTTGTTTTTGGCACTGATAGCTGTTGCTGTGTGGATTACAGAAAATTCCGGATACAAAATGGGTAAGAGTATCGTTTGATGTCCTAAGAGCTCTTAGGCAGTGAGAATAAAGGAAATTGTCTGACACTTACCTTATTCACACCAGCAGTTGCTTTTGTTACTGTGAAATCAGAGGTACTAAGATGTTCATTTTTAATACAAAACCATTTCCTAGGCATAAAAGTAACATGCATTAAGGTGACTGTTCATATACAGTCTATATACTTGAATGAAAACAGTGATACCAGAAACAATGATATAAGAAAACATCTTATAGTTATGAAAATCAATCTCTTTTATTAACCAAAATTAAATATTCAAATCAAAGGTTCACAAAACTATTATCACACACAGTTGATGTTCAGTCCTGGCTCTTCCACGGAGCTACTGCATACTTTCCCCCCCCCCCCCAAATATCCATGTTCCCCCCTCTTTTTCCACCTAATCAAACTCTCTAACATTCTTCTTGAGACAGATTATTTTCTGTCATGTTGCACTTCTGAATCTCTTTATTTCCTTTGCTGATTTTATATTTTAGTGTTTATACGTAATTGTGTTCAGAAACAATTCTAGATTTATTTTGGCAAGGGCAGAAATAAGCATAATGTTTGCTCTTTAGCTAAGGAAGCAGGCTGGGGTGTAGAAGTAGCTTTAAAGCCAGTATGAGTATCACTAAACAGCATGATGCAAAATGCAAAAATCAAGGGAAATATTTCAATGGTTGGGTAATACCTCTAACAGAAAGTGTGGATTTGAGACATAAGGCACATTTGCTGCACAAGGGACACCACTGTAGGGTGCATTAGTTGAAAACTTTGGGATTGTGTTATACAGTTTAATAATTAAATGGATAATTTTAACCCTTACCCCATACTATTAAACACTGCCTTTTTTGAAAAGGAGCTTGCAACCTCTAAATATATTCATTATACTCTGCAGCTTGAGGGCAGGGATTCTTGCTAAACTTGATCAGAGAAACATTGGTGTAGCCCTTAGCTTTGGTCCAGAGCATTATGTATACATCCCACTGTAGTGAGCTGGTGCAGCACGCTGTCTAAGAAACTTGACAAATCAGGACGTTCCTGGTTTGTATCTCACCCCTTTCATGAACTGATTAGGTGACCTTTGGCAAGTCATTCTCTTCCTGCCTTCTCCCCTCATTTGCAATATTGTTAATAGTGACCTACCTTAGAGAGTTGCTGTAATGAATATAAGACAATGTGCTATAAAATGCTACAGATTGTTACTGTTGTCAGCAATGGTAGATAGAGTTCTGCAAGAACATGGGACTCTTTTTGCCCTACCAGAGCCTGCAGTAATGAAGCCACAGTTCTGTGGATGTGTGTGCATGGCTGTATATTGGATCAAGGAGAAATCTTCTGATAATTTTAAGCTTTAACCCTAATGAAGTGTAGAAGGTCACATTTAGAAGTATACACAAAATGTTTGGATATCAAATACGTGAACATATTTCATGTTATCTGAAACCATTCATGTTTCCCCGACAGGCTTAGATCCTGTTTCTGTGCCATTTTACTTTTTTTTTAATGCAACCAGCATTTCTTTCCCAAAAACCCACTATATACTCTTTATCATAAAAAGAGCCATTCATACAGTACGTAAAAATATCTTCTGTAAGAGAAAATTTACCAAAAATAATGCCAAATATACAGTTGTATATGCATATTTGTTTTGTAAAATATAAACAGAATTTGATCTTCTTTTGGGTACTGCCCACTTTAATATGGCTGTCTTTTTAATAATGAAAAGGGGCAAAATAAGAAGGAAAGCAGGAACAGAGTGTTGCTGAAGAAGAATGCAGCTATCACTGAAACAATATCTTCTAATTTAACCGGTGCCAAGGAATAAAAAAAGAAAAAAAAATTGCTATCTTATATTTTATGCAATACTTATCAGAGGACAAATTGCGGTGACCTTGAGACTGTGGCTTGCCTTTATTTTTTTCCACCCTTAGAACAAATTTTGCTACTGGCTGAGGAAGCAAGCAAAACACTGAAAAATTGAGTAGCATTTCCTACCAGTAAGTGCAGAACTGATACTAAATTTTTTATGATTTGTTTTCACATGCTTTCTCTCTCTCTCTCTGTTTGCAGGCTTGATTGTTGCAACTCTAGCAATATGCTGGCTGCCAAATCAAGTTCGAAGGATCATGGCTGCTGCTAGACCTAAGCAGGACTGGACTGTCTCCTACTTCAGAGTGTATATCACCCTCCTCCCCATAGCTGATGTCTTCTTCTATCTCAGCTCGGTAGTGAACCCACTCCTGTACAATATCTCCTCCCAGCAGTTCCGGAATGTCTTTGTTCAGGTCCTCCGTTGTCGTCTGACATTAGAACATGCCAACAAACAGAAGCTTTTAAGAGCCAATCTGAATTCTGTAGCTGGCAGCAGCCGCTCCCACCGCCCGTTGATCTTCATGTCATCTAGGCGCAAGTCTTCTACCAATACCGGTAACAAGGTTTCCTTAAGTACTTTTCAGAGTGAGACCAAGCCTGACTGCAGTTCGCAAAAACTGAATCTTGAATCGTTGGAGCTGAATGTGAAAGTGATGTCACTGGAGGCCAGCAGAGACCCCAGTCCTACCAACCAGAATGGCCTTTGTGAACTTGAACTGTGAATCCATATAAAGCAAAGTCAGCTGATGCACAATATGCTGAACACAATGGGAATAAAAACAACAGCAGGTTTACAGCCTGCAAGCTGTATCATCATCTTCCACATTTAAGTGCTTGTTTCAATAGGCTAGTTTCCAATGACAATGGTATGGGTTCTGTATGGTTGGTTGTTGATTTGTTTTTGTTTTCAAAGTACACACTGGAAAGTCAATTGGGTAATGAGAGCTATTCTGCTGTTAAAGTGAGAGTAACATTTAAACTAAACTCTTCTTTTAGCAGTTGGAAGCAAAAAGCAGTGCTGGAATGGAAATTGGCTGTGTATCTGGAAAAAATGATACCGGACAAGCAAAACCATCAAAGAAGTCTTCCTCAGAGCTCAGCAGTATCCTGGAGATAAAAAGGCCAAGCTAGAGAGCAGTATGGGAGTTAATACACCGGCCCTGGGCATCGTGCTAGAGTTCCCCCTCTTCTTTGGCCTTGGCCCATTGCAAAGTGGAGTATTGCAGCAACTTATACAAACGGAGTTTATTTTTCCTGGAGTACAGAAAGTCTGGTATCCAGCAGAAGTCAGGAGGCAAGCTCCGGAAGATGCACAAGACTTGCGATACAGGATCCCTGTGACACAGAACAAAAGGTTGTTTAGCCTATTATGAACAAACCATTTTTTTAATGTTAGCTCTCTGTATCTGAAGACACAGCCAATTCTTTTAGGAATACCAATTCTGATTCTTGGGACATTTCAAGATTTAGCCCTTCTTCACGTGTTGTGAGGTCAACAGGAAATATGGGGCTTAAATAAATGGCACTGTTGTGAGAATACTTATTTTTTGCTTAAATTTAGCTTTGAGTTACATAAAGCCAGGAAATTGCAAAATCAATACAGCTTGGCCATGAGCATTTTAAGTTTTAAAAATTATTTGCAACCAAATTGGTTATAAATGCAAGATGTGATCACTTGAAATTCGATCATGCTCAAAAGGTGCTGCATGTCGCTTAGAAGAACCCACGTCTGTTTTAGGGTTTCAGCATTTTAAGGAAATTTTGTTTGCACTATTTCTTTGAACAACCCAAACAATGAAAAGCTCACACAAGAATTCAGCATATCCAGAGCACTGTTCCATGCACACAAGAGAAAAAGATTATGAAATCTGTCTTTCCATTCTAGTGATCTTAAGGTTTTTGTAATAAATCAAGTACACAGAAAAACGGCATACCTATTTAGAACTGCTCCAAAGGCTTGTCTGTATTTTTTTATTTTTAATTGAATGAAACTCAGTACACACTTGTTGAGACATTAAAATGTTTTAATATGTTTTATAGAGGTTATAAAATAAACTCATACTTCTGAAAAAAATAAGAGTAGATAGTGTTTTTGTACCTCTGAAGTTAGCTGTCAATATTATGAGTCTCTTCTTCCATGCATTCTGATAGAAATCTGGCTTTGGGGTTGAGGCCTAAACAATATGGTTATCAAACACTGCACTTTCCCACCTCCCCCTCCTCCCCGTCTCCGATTTGGGCTTACCTGAGAGTGAAGGGGTAAGTTTCACAGTTAATTTAAAACAAGTTCCTTTTCTGTTCACAACATTTTCTTTGTTGACCTTTCACTGTACTAGGAACTTGCATTAAGGCTGTTCAGAATGACTTTTTAAAAAAAATCTACCTAGCCTTGTACATGAATATTTTCAATGACAACAATGTCTGAAAAACAAAATGTTTGTCTAAGCAAAATGTCCAGGCCTAAAACTTAAGAGCTGACTTCACCATTTTTTTTCTGAAATAGCATTCTTACACTGATTCAAAAATAATTCCGTGGTATCTTGAATAATCCATGGAACACTTTTGTATTGGTAGAAACACAATAAAAAGCAATAGAGTTTTCATCAAGACTGGCACTGCCTGCGATTAGAAGCAGCTGCTGGAAATCCAGTTAAAGAAAATTGTGAGCATTCTTCAGCATCTTTCAGTGCAATCCTATGTAGAGTTTTATACCCTTCTAAATTCACTGAAGGCAATGGGCTCATTCAACGTTCTTCTTACATTCAATGTTCCTTCTAACTTTTCCTCCTACTGAGTGGAATAGTTCACAGCCTGGGCAGAATATAACTGCTATAATCTTAAAATGGGCAATGGGCAGTACAAGACCCTGCGCAGCTCCAGACTGCTGCTGAGTGGGGCTTCCTGTGTTAATGACAAGCCACTCATGCACGCAGCTTAGAGGGAACAGTGATTACATTGGTCCTTTTTGCATGCATATTTATCCCACCATTTCTCTATACCCTGATCCTGTTTGCCTTTACTCTGGATTCAATACCTGTACTTCTGCACCTCCGGGGTTTCCCCCCTGGAACTGCAAAATATCCAAGATTACGTATTCTGCATTACTATGAAAAAAGTCACCCAAATTCAATCACGGGGCGGCATACTCCTGGAGTCCACATCCCAGTCTTCCAAGCAGTGTTTTCCTCTGCCCCCCATCAGTAAAATGATGCTTAGGGACAATTGCCATCCAGGACTCAAAGTAGTGTGCATGCGTCAACAGTACTAAAAAACATTAATATATGGTCCTGAAGTACACCGAAATGTGTGATGGCAGATTTTGTGGAACCAAAGCAAATGTTTGCTAAAAGAACAACCCCTGCATTGCACACTGCTCAATGTCCAGTGGCCAACATCATGGTTCCACTCAGAAATTTCAGATAACGTGGGGGAGCTGTGGGGCACCATGCATGTTGTGGCTGCGGTTCAATGCAGGAATACCCATCCAGAGGGGAACCATTCCCAGACTCGAAAAACAAGCCTTTCCATCCTCCCCCCATACATTTTGAAAATTCACTGCATCATCTGTCAAAGCCTGATTTACACACCATTCATTGGTTTTGGAGAAAAATCACCATAGACTCAAGCATGAAGTGAAAACTAATAAACCAAAGAAGGGGTAATGCAGTGGTGTTGCTTCTGCGCCACTTAAGGGTGCAGGGCAACGGAAAGCCACTCTCAAGATACTCTCTGCAGATGGCTGCCATGGAATACAAGCTTCAAAGCCTGTTCCAGCCTGGACACGAGTACACTCATCTGGGGGAAAGGTGAGCTAAGATGGTCCTTTAAGGGCAGGGACAATAAATCCAAAAGAGTTTTACTCTGGTGTGGAACTGGGGCAAAACAGCATTCAGAAAACCCAGGGAAACAGCAGAGGAGAACTGAACTGAGAGCTGAGCAATGCAGAATTAAAAAATAACCTGGCAGAAATGCAGAGTGAATTAAAAATATACAGTGAATCAAAAGCGGGAGGCAATGCAGAATGAAAAATATGCCGCAAGGCAGAACAGCTGTAAGTGGGGGGACCACTGTTAATCGCCCTACTAGAGTATCTGGACAGGACCATGATTGTTGGCAGTTATATAATAGTGTAATAGTGTAATTAACCTTCAATATTGACAAAGATTGTGGGCAATGAACAATCTAATGGAAACGTAGTAGAAGTCTTTTTTCATACATGGTGGTGGTTAAGGTACACCATTAGATATTTATACTTGTGATTAAGCCTATTTTTTGCTATGAATATAGGATACTGAACCAACCTCCTGTTGAGTCACCAAAATTAGGTGTGCAGGCCATACATAGAGTGTGATTATAGCCTGTGAAATTGCACAGTTTGACTTTATTTTATTAATTTAAGTCTCAGCAGTTTATATTTCTTGCCATAACTGCATCTGTATATACATTAGTTTTACATTCCATATTATATACTTATGCAACCCCATAGGGTTTTCTTTTTTAATTTTCGAAAAACAAAGAGATAAAAAGAAAATTAAAAAGATTACACATCATAATTATATATATCAAAGGGTAATTTTGACTGCGGTCACACAGAGCATTAGGCACGTTAGAGAGACGGAAGATAGGCGGATTTTCCGGGTGTGATCTCACCACCACATCTGGAATGCGTAGAGCTCCCGTGGCGAACCCGAGGCTTCCCGCCGAAGATGCGCAGTTAAAAACCAGTACCTCAGAGGTACTAGTTTCCGGTAACCGCGGGGCAAGGGCATTTCCGGTGGTAGTTCCGGCGCCCGCCCATGCCCCCTCGTATAAAGGTTTTATTTTTTTCAACTGTCCATGGGATGCGCACGAGCACCCAACGGGGCATGCGCACACTTTGGTGTCCGGAGGAAAAAAACACCTGTTTGCCGCGCCGCAGGATTGTGGTGTGCTCGGCACCTCCCCCCTACCACAGGACCTCCACGGTACGTCTGCTGGCGCAACCGCGCGTTATTTTGCCCCGGGGCAAACAGCCACGCTTCCCCCCCACATTTTCCTGCCCGTGTGCCTATATATAACAAAATATATGAAATAGAAAATATTACTCCCCAACACCCCCTATTACAGTGAAAAGTTTTTGAGTCACTGTTTATAAAATACTACAAAACTTACTTCTTTTGAGATAGATTTGTATTCCACATTTTACATTTCAAATTTTGTAACTACTCTGTTTTTCAACTGAATTATTAATTTCACCATTGGTGCATACTCAATACTGTATGTTTTCTCCATTTCTACGTACTTGCTATTACTTTTGGCAAGAAGGTAATATAACAAAAATACAGAAGGGAGGACTATTATATATCTTAGAAAATTAATTTAAAAGTGTTTCTCCTCAAAACCCACTTCCTTACACACATTTATACTCAACGTGTTGCATTTAGAACTGATTCTCAAAAAAAAAAAGAACTGATTCTCATTCTGCTTTTTCATTGCAATACAACTGAATACAATACAGTTATTTTAGACTTCTCATATTTGCATAGTACACACTTCTTTTCTCCTCAAATTTCATCTGATCTGTTTCTCCAATAAATTGTTAATCTCGCCATCACCGTATATTTGGCAAGTTTATTTTCCCACTCTTCTAAGTGCAGACAAACATCTAGTTTCCATTTTACTGCATAGATAATTCTAGCCACTGTCGCCATGTATTTGTATATCTCTTCCAAAAATTTTGGCAAATTGTTAGTC